AGAGAGAGAGAGAGACATCACCAGGCCTGGAAGTAGCAATGACAACTACCATAAGAAGTTCTAACTTTTCTCTACTAGTTTCTTTTTTTCTCCCCATAAAAACGGAGATTTTTCTTTCTCAAAAGGTATATTTAGAAATACCAACAAACACAAAAAGGCTTGGCGGCAAGCTTGTCATTGCAAAAGGTAACAGAACATATAGTGCAATGGATTTGGATAACTTTTGCCCTTCAAAAGTAAGTAGAACCGACAGTCGGCTCTACAAGTTTAAACAGAGTCCCGGCGGCAAAAGTCACCGGGAGTCTGTTTAAACAGCCCCGATGCTGGCGACGTACACTGTACGTCGTCAGTCACGGAGGGGTTAAGCTGCTGCTAGAATTTTTTTCATGACCTCGGAGCAATGATTTCCCAAGACTGCTGTACTAAGCAAAACTAAGCAGCGGTAGCTTTAGAGAAGATCGATGCAGCTGTTAAAAGGTTGATCACCATGGACTTCCAAGTGATGAGATCCCCAAACATTAGAAGGTGACAAGTGATTGGGTTTACTACTGCCTCTGTGAATGTAGAAATCCTCTCAAGTAGGTTTACATAACACAGGCATACCCAGAATAACTTTTCTAAGGCCTCATTCACACTGGACATGAATGCCGGAAACCAGCTGATCCCAGGAGGGACAGGTGCTGCATGTGATTGCACGCAGCAGCCTGTTCTTCCCTATGGGAGGACACAGCTGTACGGTGTCATACGGACACCCAAACTGCACATTCCTACGGGTACCTTGTGCCTGCACTTGGACACAGGCAGGACCCATCCTGTCTGCGGCCAAGTGCCGACAGCCGAAAGGAGGACAGTGTACAGCCGCGTCCTCCCATAGGGAAGAACCGGCTGCTGCACGGAATCACATGCAGCACCTGTCCCTCCTGGGATCGGCCTTTTACAGGCGTGCATGGATGTGTACGGCCAGTGTAAATGTAGCTTTATAGAAACAAAGACAAAGTACATTTGTGTTTTTTAAACAGTAATTTACCTTCATTTTTTACCACATTTGTCTGTAGGTCTGGGGTGTGCCCTTGGAGTGAAAGGCGGGGCTGCTGTAAGCGGCTAAGCATGGGTTGAGGAGATACACCTCTGTAATCCAAGCTGCGTGCTGGAGACCTGGAGCGTGGAGAGTTTCTGGGAGATTGTCTAGGGGAGGGTCGAGGAGAGTGACGTGGTGAGGGTGAGAATCTGCTCACAGGTAAGTGAGCTGAATGGTAACTTCCTTCTTCATCATCTTCTAAGCTCTGAGCGTCAAGTTCCTGGTCACTATATGTCCCTCTTCTCATAGAGTGGCATGAGGATCCAGAGCTTCGGCGAGAAGCAGAAGCTGCATACTCTTGTCGAAGACCTACATATAGAAGAGAAAGACACGTAACTTTGTTAGGCAAAACTTTTTACAAATAACTGCACCAACATAATATTTAACTGAAAAGCAATACGATCATTAGTAGTTTACACTCTAGCACTTTTGATATGACACTTTCATATGTTCCTTTGTTTTTTACTCTACTTAATCAGGTTGACAAAAGACACATCACTGAATAAAGTCCATTGAGTTAAACCAATAAAAAAATATGCATAACTAAAACAAAAACATGCACATATGGAGCTGGAACCCTAAACCCACAATGATACCAAGACCAGCAAATTTACAGTCATGCTGCTGGTCATTATTATTATAAGACCATAGCTGTCCACTGACACTGTGATCACTAGACTTGAAGAACTCCAGGAATTTTTATTAACCCTTGCAGTGGGGCTACCCCCACTGCAAGGGTTAAGTGCTCGTTTGTGTCTAGGCACAAAAATAAAGATATACTAACCCCAAGCTCTGAGCAGGCCAGTTGTCACTATGCTTCCTCCAGCCTGTCTCCTCCTCTGCGGCAGCATTGTAATCTTCTTTGTTGATGATTTGGACAGCTGCATCGGAGGGGGAGAGACATTGGAAGGACCGGTCTAAGAAGAAGCCAGCTTTTTTTTTTATTATTACCTAGACACAAACAAGCACCTAAGCCTATTAAGTGTGGGGGTGGTCCCACTGCAAGGGTTAATATAGAAAAATTCCTGGAGTTCTTTAAGTAAACAATTGAAAGTACCAGCCCAAAAAATGTGAAGCAGCTATGCACAGCAACCAATCTGTCTTTCTGTCTTTCATTTTCAAAGCTTAACTGAACAAATTGAAAAAGGAAGCCGATTGTTTGCTATGGGCAACTGCTCCAGATTGTCAACTCCAGTTTTAATAAACATAATTAAAAAACAAAAATCTTGGAATGTATCTATAACTGGAAGTAATGGAGGGGTTAAATGATTACAGCATGACATCTGAAACCATTACACAGGACTGACAGGCCTGAAGGCCCCAGCTGTCATGCAGAACGTCTTTGTGTCACACTGAAGCTCCAGTAGCCATATTTTCTTGCCAAAAGAGAAAAAAAAAAAAAGAAGTAATCTCGGTTATAAATATGTGGAAATAATACTTGTAATTGCTGACAATATTATGTCAGCAGTGTGACAGTATCAGTGTGAAATACGTAAAGGCCAAGTGTGAAAAAAAAGTGCCAAAAGGGACAGCTCATTCATTTAATGGAAACATTCAAAGTGCAAGATATACATACAGGCTGAAACAAATCAGGGTTGGTAAATTCAAGTGAACCTGTCCTGATTTTAAATGCTTCTAAGTAGTGATGCACAAATGCCGATACTGGGCATTTCCACAAGTACCGGCGCGTTTAGCATTCAAACGGAAGCCAGCACTGTAAAGAAGTGCTTAACAGGAAGACTGTCGAGGTCCCCGCTGCCTTCCTGTAAATGGTGGCGCATATTAACAGCGCCGCCTGGAAAATCTTCTCCTCCTCCATGCCACCCACCGTCCTGCACAGCCACCATTAACTCCACGGAGCCCAGCATACAGCCACCTGAGAGCCACACAGACCACCATTATTCCTGCACAGTTGCACAAACATTCACACAGCCCACCATAGGCCCCGCAGAGCCCAGCATACAGCTCACACAGACCACCATTATTCCTGCACAGCCCACCACAGAACCTCCGCAGCCTACCACAGAACCTCTGCAGCCCTTCCGAGACCCCACATAGCCACCTGAGATCCTCCGCTGAAGACATCAGGCCGGCACCTTGGAGCAGCACAGAGTATGTAGCTTTATTAGTATTCTGCAATAGTGTATAATCCATTGCTGTGATTTGTAGTCCTCTATAGCCGGTTGCCTTTCAGCATTGCTGTATAATGTATCGCTGGGATCTGTAGTCCCTTTAGAGCTTGGAGTCCGTGGCAGAACTACCGGGGGTGCAGAGTTTGCAGCTGGGACTGGCACTTCACCACTATCCTCAAATCATTAATCTTAGTCTGTATTCTTTTAGAAAAAATATGTCACATAAGACAAAATAAAAAAAAGGTATCGGTGAGTACTTGAGGAAAAGTATTGGTACTTGGTGTGGAAAAAAATTGTATTGTTGCATCCCTACCCCCCACTCCCCGCTATCAGGAAGAAGAAGGCTTTGCAGTTATGTGATGGCAAAACTACAACGAACACTAAACGGTTCTATTTTAATGAAATATCTGTGAATATGGCAGGAGCAAAGTATTTACTGTGCTACCATAGGATTTGCTCTGTCTGCTCACATATACTTTGAGTGCTGCAGCACATTTTGATTTAATGGGAGGTCATAGTACTATTTTAACCACTTTTCAACCTCATATTATAAAATGGAGGGATGGTGGATTGTTGTTTAACCACAACCGTTTTATAAACGCTGCTGTAAAAAAGCCCTCACGCCAATCTCCAGGTACTGAGCCATGATTGGAAGGCTCAGTAGACAAGTGTACAGAGCCAATCCGAGCAACCCGGCAGCATGTGATCGTTGTGATGACCAATCACAGTGATCACATGCTAGTGTGTACATTGCTAATATCGTCTCTTCCTCTTACAACAGAGGGAGAGTAAATAGTAGAAATCATGAAATATGGAAATGAATGCATACAGCTGTAACTGCTGATCCATTTTCACAAACTTGGGACCTTAACCACCCGATCTCTCTAAGCATGACCTGTATATTTCTTAGTCACATGCTTTAACCCTCTCAACACCAGCATGTTTCTTTATATCCAAAAAACGTTGGCAAAAAATGAGAGCATGGGGGGTGTCTATTTTTCAAAAAGGGGTCATTTCAGGAGTGTTTGTACTGTCCTGGCATTTTTATTTTAAGAGAAAGTAACCCCTTTCCTCCGCCATCCATGTTAAAAAAAAAAAACAAAGTGTTAGTGGATATTCCCAAAAGAAAGATATCAAATGAGCTTGGGTACAGTGTTGTATGACCAAATAACTGTCAGTCAAACCATTGCAGAACTGAAAGCTGAAAAATGGTCTGGTAAGGACAGCGTATTACAGTACTCAAACACCAGACCTTTGACAGGCAGAGTGGAGAGACCCAACCTTGAAGGACCAGGTCAGGTGTACTTTAACATAAAAATGGTACTGTATGAGAGGAAACATTATTTCATGCAGCATGAGCTAGCGTTGCTGGAATAGAACATGTTCAATTAGGAGGTTGCTTATGAACAATACAGCTCAAGTCAATGATGTAATATAGAGACTGCAGGGTTGTATCTTAAAACAACAGCACTGTTTCCTGTAGAGATTTAGTATACAAAGTGGTACATCAATAAGTGCCGGAAATATTTCTGATCAAATGTTCCATACTCACTGTCTTCTTGCATCCGGGCCAGTATCTGGACATCTGTGACATCATTTAGTTTGTAACTTGAACCTACAGAGTCTTCGTCCATCTCGGATGTACTGAGCTCACTGTCTACTGAGGACTGTGGGCTGACCGGAGTGGGGTTTCTGTCAGGTGAGCTTTTATAAAGCCCTAGGAGAACAAAATACAGAATTATAATAAATAAAAAGAAGTCTTATTTGAACTAAAATGGCAGAACGTAAAACAAGAACCTTTCCAACCAATATTTAACACTCCCTGCCATATACAGAGCATGAATATAACCCATTCAGAGCAGATCTATCCTATCAAAAGACATGAGAGGACAGAAGATATCAGGTCACTCTCTCAACCAGGGTGACGGATGCCTTCTGGCTTTGTCAGGGGTGCCTTCAAATGTTTGCACAGTGTCATGCATTTCCATGGAGCAGGCCAACCGGCCACCAGCACCATGGACACACATGATGTTAATCCAGGGCGGGCTGCATCGGGGATCTTCCCCAGCATTCAGCCGCACTGTAGAGAAGATAAGGTAGGACTCTGATGTGGAGTGGGAATGCAGGGCTCTCATGTGAAAGGTGGCTCCTGGTATACATTTTTGATTTTTAAATTTTAGACTGGGGTGCCTGAAGATTTTGCACAAGTTTAAAGGATGCCGGCACTGGAAAAAAGGTTGAGAAATGCGGTTCAAAACAATGTTTGACATTTTCAGAGATGACTGGTTTGAATCTTAAAAGTATGGGGGGCGGGGGCGGGGTGTATTACAAACACTTGCAATGTAATAAATGAACTTAGCATCAATTTGTACACGTGAATGTTAACAATTTAGAAGAGCACTTTTAGTGTGGAAAATATCCATCTGATTCAGATTCACTTTTCAACACAAATTATATGGCAGGGCATGGCAAACAAAGCCAAAAATACATGTCTATATTAGGGCTGTGCAAATTAACGATTCATTTCTCGATTAATCGTTAATCTTTTTGATCGCTAATGAAAATACTCACTCTCCGCCGGCTTCTGGGAGTCCCGTTGGAGATCCGGTGACGCCACGGACATCCCCAAGTGGCTCCGTCGGCTAACGCAGGGAAGGGGGGTGGAGTCGATGTCCCCAAGTGGCTCCGTCGGCTAACGAAGGGAAGGGGGAGGAGTCCGGTGACGTCGATGTCTGACGTCACGGGACTCCTCCACCCTTCCCTTCGTTAACTAATATATATATATATATATATCTTGCAATGATGTGATCAGTGTAATTTCGTTTAAGGGCTATGCCTAGAAATAAAAGACCAACACCATATATTTCCTGTTTCTTTGCAAATCTCCTTGTAGCACTGATTATCCAGTTGTTGGATATAACTGTTCAATGTGACTGGTTGCTAGGGTCATAATAGAAGTCACCAGCACTTGGTGTGCGAAGATGTAAAGCACTTATTAAATTGTCACATGCGTGATACAGCCAGCGCTTCTGGGCCACACAATGACGTCACTATGTTGCCCAGAAGAAGGGACCCTGCGTGGCCCAGAAACGTTGGCTGTATGACGCATGTGACAATTTAATAAAAAGTGCTTTACTTCTTTGAACAGATCGAGTGCTGGTGACTTCTATTATAGACTGTATCTGACAGCGCCATTCGTGTTGTCACTTCAAGCACCAAGCTTTCATCCAAAGTCTGTACGCTGTATGGAGTGCAGGTGATTTTGTATTATTGGTTGCTAGGGGCTTTGCAGCCAAAACATGCAGCTTGATTCTACATAATGGCACACCACCCCCTAATTATTTCAGACAGGGAAAGAAAACTAAGCCATTGACAGTGAAGAACTTCTCATGTTGTAGCTGGGCATGCCCAGAAATGACCTGACGCTTTAATCAGATAACCAGAGTCATCCTTTGCAGGATTGTATAGGAAATCTGATTCAGTTCACATCTCCCTGCTTATAACTGGCTTTAGCCTAGGGTTACACGAGTAATTAAAATCTTTAATGGCAGTGCCCTCATTTGCTACTTGGCAATGTCCTCCTTTGTGGCACATTGAAATCAATGTGCTACTAATAGGGTGATGGGAAACAATTAGTTAAGTCTCTCAGTAGCAAAGAGATAAGCCCCTAGATTGTCCCTTCTCCAACCCCTTCACCCTTTTCTGAATGACCCTGTAAATGTTTTTGATTTTGCGAGTTTCAACAACTCTTCTAAAGTCCTCTAAAAGTTTTTGGGACTAGGCCATGCTTTAAAAATTTAACAGAACCCTGCTACTAAGAACATATAACCAAAACTGCATCTGTCTGGGCCCCTGGAACTCAAATACCCTTGACTGATTAAACCCTTTGTTAAATGCAGTTATGACCAAATAAATGATGTGTGTGTTTTGTAAGGAGGACAACCATTATTTATAAAAAAAAACACATTTTAAAGAACTAAAATCGTGAATATTTAACTCCCAAGGGCGTTTCTCACAAATGTGATCCTAGTGTGATATGGGTCTGCCCATCTGCAGTTGTACAGGTCAGCTACCAAAAATGCCTGCTCAGGGTTTCTGTATGAGCGTCCCACATTGCCTCTACTAAGAATATGCAGCAAAGGTGCAAATTTATAAACAAAACTCTTGATACAAAGACATAACACAGACACATTTGTTAACAGCATAGAAGAGATGTAGGGGGAAAATAAGAAAATCAGATTCTGGCCCAGTAAATATTGATACTCACCCGTGCTGCTCGGCAGAACCAGCTGCCGCACTACTGGAGGCCTCACTAGAGTGGAGGATGGAGAGCTGAAGCCACTGTTGTATGGACTTCCACTAGGATTGGGACTGTAGGAGCTAGCGTAGCTGGATGAACTGTAAGGAATGCTGTACATACTCTGCCTCTTGAAGGCTGTAAACAAAGAAAGGTTTTTATTAATATGTCAAAGGTCAGATGTGCTCAGGCATTAAGCTAAGCTTCATCTTCAAAGAACTTCTGTAGAACTAATAATATTTTTATGGTGCCTTATGGTATGTCAATCTCGTAATATAACCTACGATCGTCTAAATCTGGGAGAGAAGACTTTTGTGTGGACCAAACCTCACAGATGACAGTGTCACTTTTACAGATTTGGGGATACCGTACGCATTGTTTGAACTGCCGCCCCTCCTCCTCCTCAGTAAGACTGGCCATACAATGACGGTTTTATCTTGAACTTTGTTAAAATGCTTGAATCCTCCATCCATGCTAAACAGAGTGGATGGAGATATACCTCTGCCAGGCTATTGCATTCTGACAGAGGAGGGTGTGCCACTGTTGGAATACCCAAACATTGGCTGCAGTTACTGTTTGGACATGAATATTCAGACAGGCTTCAACAAAAGTTGATTAAAAATAATTGACCTTGTGGAAAAGAGCGATGCGGACTGGTCCACATGCTGCTCAAATTTCCTGCAAACTCAGCCTAAATAGAACCAGTGTATAGCCAGCTAAAGTCAAACATGTCAAAGTTGGCACAGCTGTAGCATTGCTACCCCTAAGCCTCAAGGATCTTAAAAGGGAACATGCAAGGAAAGCAATGGTGAGTTGCATATTTCTAACTTGGTTTTTAAAGGTGCAGGCTCCACTGTGGCGAATGTATTTCTGGTCTCACTAGCTAGTGAATCAGGGACCCAGAAAAAGCAGGCATGCATTAAATCTGGAAAATCTGAATGGCTGTCGTCCATGCTTGCTCCAGGTCAGTGGATTATCGGGTAGTAAGGCCACATTTAGGATAGAAGTGCATTGGAGCCTTTAACTTTTACATCCATTCAAGCACATTCACGGGTTCCCATTACGTAGTGTGGACTCATACTACAGACTGCATTTTTTCCACCCTGGAGAGCTGTATTACCCAAGGGTAGCTTGGCTCAATTAGTATAATTGGATCCGCTGTATGAAACCAAAGCATAAAAAAAACACCTGTGTTTTACTTCTGAAAAACATGCAATAAGTATACTGTAACTGAGTATCTAATTTCCTGAATACCCGCTGCAAAACAGAATTCAGAATACTCCAGGATCTAAGATTTCTTCCCTTCATGGTATGATTTATGTACAACAAAGCTGATGGAAAAAATAAAATGTCTCTTGTTGCTAGTGTTATCTTGTAGAGCAGCGGTCTCAAAGTACCGGCCCGCAGCCAGGTGACAAGTAAGGTACCCGATCACGGACCGCATACCTGACTTGCAGGAGCAGCTACATCGGACGCGTGGCAAGACATTGCCAGCGTTGCGTTCCACTGCAAACGCATAAAATAGGGCTTGCTCTATTTTTTTGCGTTCGCAGTGGAACGCAATGCTGGCAAAGTCTTGCCACGCGTCCGATCGCACTACGGGCGGGGGGGGGCGTGGAAGCGGTGCCATTGAATTCAATGCACCGCCACGCCCCCTCCCCAGAACGCGGGGGGAAGTTTCTTAGCAATCGCGGTGCGTTTCAGCAGCTACCGCTCTGCAAGGCACACGCTTTGGGTGTGAACAAGCCCTCATTCTCAATTTCAATATCTACTTATTGTAAATAAAAACCCTTTGTTAACATGACATTATTGAAAAAAAGTCTTTGGTTAGACAATTTGGCCTGACAAATTTAATACTGCATTTCATGCAAAAATCTATTCTGTAATGGAAAATATTTGCATCAATTTCTTGGGATAACTCCATCTCTTATAGATCTGTAAATATCTCTGATGGATCATGTATTGGCCAGTATCTCTATTAAAAGACATGTAAACCAATAAAACCCCAGCGATTATATTTGTTTACATGTCAACAAGTACAGATACAACTTTTCCTATCTTCAAAATAAGTTCAATGCACGCCATCTGGAATCAAACGTGCCCCATGATTTATATGCAGAATGACGATGATTTCATTGTAAATCATCTTCCTTTAAAAATAATATATTCATAGACTGAACATTTTAGTGGAAACTCATCCAGGCAACTAGAACAAACATTGTGACCTATCTAAATGTGTGCACACATTGTTATCAGATTATTGGCCAATATATCATAAAATCGCCAATTGGAAACTGGAAAAAAGTTTGGTATTCAAATAGTGTAGTCATGCAAAAAGTTTTTAGGGTGGTGTAGTGACAGATTACCTCCTCTGTCTGGCTTTTACTATTGTGCGTTTCCCTGCTGAGGAGGAAGGGGGAAAAAAAAGTGTTTCCACTGAAAAGATTTATAATGAATAATCCCAGCCGCCTCAATATAATTTTGTAGGCCACATGTACAGTGCATGATGCTCATTTCTAGAAACTTAAAATGCTCACCCGACATAGTTTGCTCCAGTCTGTGGATAAGGGATTTTTTTGCACACTCCACATCAGGGGAAGGACTGTCCAAAACCTGCCGGCACCAAACCAGGGGACTCACTGGTTTTTTTGATGAGGATAACTTTTTCTTTGGTGAAGTATACAACCTGAAAAGAAAAACACTGCTTAGCAAGTATCACAGAGAAAGATCTCAAGTCAGAGGAAAAAGTTGTGCTTACTATAAATTGCAGGTTGCTTTCGGGTGTCTGCTCAGTGCATCTGATCCCCTTCACCCATGAAACCAACATTACCATAAATAAAGAGCTGCTGGCCACTGGCTCTGGCCTCCTCCAATCCAAGCACCTTACTACTGGCCATTACTACGATAGTCAGTACCAACAATAGGGACCATTGGGCAGGAGGTGGAGAGGTGAAAGCCAGCAACCAAGAATCTGACTGGTACCACCACCACCAGTGGTTTCATGGGTGCTAATCATTGGATCAGACACTGAATAGGTGTTTGCCATTTTTAGTAAATAAGATTTTAGGTTAATATTTTCAATAAAAGTATAAGTGTACTTTTAAACAGACTGGCCCAAGCCCCAAACCCCATTGCTTTATTCTTCTCACCACAAAATGTGAAATCTTACAAAATGCCAGGTGCAGATACTCCGATATTCCCTTATTCTCTACTGGAGACAAAGACATGTGTAGGATATAGGAGGAATACTGCAAAAGGATAAAGACAATGTCTTAGGTCTGTGCAGGTTATGGCTGTTATGAAGGGTATGTCTGTATGTGTGATGAGGATGGGCTAGGGTACTTCATTTTCAAAACAACCCTCAACATCATACACAAAATAAAAATGAATCTAAAAGTCTCATCTATTTTCAGGCTTCACGACTGAAGAAGTGTGACGAAGAACCATTACTGCTACTCACAGCAACCAACCTCATACTTTCATCTGATGTGGGAGAAGAAAACAGAATCTGACCTGTTATTGGCAGGAGAAAAATATTCAAGAGTCCCATAAATTGGAGCAAGTTTGTCACAACGTTTATTTGCACACTGAAAATCCAAACAGGGGACAATGTCTAGACAAAAAAAACAAAAACTATAATCCCAGTACTAAAAAGGTAAAAGTGCAATTCAAAAGTGTGGCTGTATCAGATCAACAAGAATAAAAGAAAACCCTTTACAAATGTTTCAATCAAATGTAAAATAAAAGGAGTAATTTTAAGCAGCGATATCCAGAGCTAAAAGAAGAGAAAAATCTGGTCTGTGTTGTCTGGATATACCACACCCTGAAATTAGAAGTAAAGCTCGGCCTTGTCACATGAAAAGCACACATCTGTCACAGAACAAGTTATATATACTACACTATAAATCTGTTACTATGTGTGCAAGGTATGCGGCCCTGAGCTTATCAGAGCTTCTGTCTACAATGAGGTGTAAGGAGGACAGCCTACAGGCATAAAGACAACAGCTGCTAATTCGGCAAGATTACAAGGAGCCGAGAACAAGTGTTGGCTGCTCACAGTAAAGCTGGGTACACACACAGATTTTATTTGTTCAGCCTGTGAGGATGAAAAAAAAAACCAGACAGACAGATTCCTCCATCCATACGAACAGCAGATGTGGATAAACGAATCTCCCGTGTACATTGGGGGGCAATTTATAAAAACAGCATCTCTCTTCGGTGTGCTCAGGTAAGATTTGAAAATAAGACAGAGGAGCTGATTGGTTGAAGTAAAAATCTGCTCCAGAGTTTGTCTGCTCCAGTTTTGAAAAATCCCCCTCATTGTATTTTGACAGTGGCGCCCAATGCTGTCAGAATATCCAAACACTGCTTTCAGCTGAATATCTGCAATCACTCTTTGGCAGACATTTTCCCAGCAAGTTCCTTTGACAAAAGTCAATCTGATGATTAACTATTGTTGAGCAGATGGGGCTATGCACAGATCAAGCTTGATCTGTGTGTACCCAGCCTAAAAAGGAGAAGTATTGGGAGAGTAAAATGTACTCGTCCCAATCCTCGGAGCCGGTGTGCGACAAAGGCGTTTAAAAACACCGTTTTCTATGTGTAGGAGTAGCTAATAACCTATGGAGTGCTTTTCCAAATCAAAAAGTGTGGCATTCACATTTTCAAGACCACCCTAACCTGACTAAGTACCCATCATGGACAGTTAAGCTCCTAATTTCCAGGGCACACAGAGAAACCTGAAAAACCTATTCAGAAAATATATAATGTTGGGGGGTTTTACGTCATTTTCAGGCCTAAAATGTGGAATATAACATGGGTGCAAAAATTGAAAAAAGGGCCTCAGTCATGAAGGGGTTAAAGAACTCCAAGAAAACACTGCACTGCAAGGGTTAAGTGCTTGTTTTTGTCTTGGTTCAAAAATAAAGGATATATTCACCCAAATCTCCAAGCCGGCCAGCTGTCACAGCGCTCCTTCCAGTCTGTCTCCCCCTCCCTGCAGCATTGGAACCTTTCTCAGCATCCTAACGGCTATACACAGTGTATAGACATGATGATTCACAGACCACTGTAGGAGGGGAGAGACATCGGAAGGAACGATTTAAGAAGCTGGCTCAAAACATGGGGTAAGTATAAACTTATTAACCTAGACACAAAAGGAGCAGTCAATCCTTGCAGTGCCAGGGAAGCCCCACTCTATGGGTTAAAAAAAAAATGTTTTTCCTTGAGTTCTTTAAGCCCCACTAGAAGGAGCAAAAAGTGCAGCTACAGAATAGGATGAGACTATATTAAACTAAGGTACTTCTCTCAACAAAACGTGGAAGCGTTTTCTTAGGAGATTCTCACAGGTCGGTTATATATTTGCATTCCATACACACCGTTTTAAAAAGGAAATACACGAAGAGTCTGATACGCTTACAGGAATCCTTGTGAAAAAGGAGCTAGACTTCCCACGCTATATAAATAGATGTATACGGCTAAAACACCAAACTGAATTGTACTGCTAAATCAGATGATATACCATGTGCCAAACAACCCCATGGTCGCTCAGCACAGCTGGATGTGACCAGGCAAGCGAGACAAATGTTTATTTGGTGGACGTGTACATTTTATGAAAGCAAAGTGTGACGAGCTGTATTCTGGACACCAACTGCCCTGCTTGCTGCAGCTAGCAATACCAGGCAGGCAGGACTACTGGTCACCCTGTTTGAATCTACTTCCTCACAGCAAGTGTAAGTGACAAGCCTAAAAATCCTTTGTGAAGATCAGGAATCGCAAGTCACTTGGCCCTGGGTGTTGTGCTTTTACTGAGAACACTAAGCCGCAGAATAGAACACTCATTTTACTAGGGTATGGCCTCATATAGGGGGAACGTGAATGCGCGAGTCCTGCAGCAGTCAGTCAATGGCCCATTTCCCTGCTTTCCAATGCTACCCACTAGTCCTGCATTGGCGGTGATGGCATCAGTAAGAGGAGAGGTGGTAACAAGACCAGTGAGGAGCACTGAAATATTTTAGTAGGTAAAATTCTATTTTTAAAAATATTTTATAAACTTTTCAAAATACAAGATAAAAAATAGAGAATATTCAAGGATCACAAATACAACAGTAAAAAGGAGAACAGAATCCACATATAATAGATAATATGGCGTGGAGCCAAAAGTAGCACATAATGCAACCACACCATTGAATCAAAATACATAAACGTCACAAGGAAATAAGAATGAGCAGTGAGTGTGGGCGAGGAGTACTCTGGGGTGAAATAATCAGCTCACTGAAGAGCATACTAACCCTGCCCATGGTAAAGCACTAAAAGAGGAAAAACACAGTAGAAAAGAAAGAGATACAAGTAGCTAGAATTGGTAAAAAGGCACAGAAGCGACAGATCGGAAAGAGAACCATTAGCCCCTTGGCAACCAGCCTTCCAGCGACTGAAATCCCCCATTGGGCAGGTCTCAGATAGAGAGAACAAAATTCATAGGTGAAATTTTACAAGAGTGATGGCATTTGAAAAATATAACTCATCAGGAGGTTCTGATGAAGGGGGCGTGCCCCTGAAACGCGTAGACCTTTAGAACTCAAGGGGGCAGAGGACGCTGATGTGCTGTACTCCTTCAGACTTCCGCTGCTAGAGATTTTATATTGCATCATCATTTGTATGCTTTTAAGCACCGACTTTCCTGTAAGTACATTTTTATTTGCGTGTTGTACAAATAAATTACACTTTTACACTATGGAGGCGCTCTGTCTTGTCCCTTGTTTCCTGTATGGACTCCTGTGAAGCAGGGAACACCACTACATGAGCCCTCGATCTGATTCACACAGCCCGATTGAAGGTGCAAAGCTTTTACTGTAAACAGACATGGAAAAAAAAAAAATCAAGTGACTTAGTGAGGCAATAAAAACTGTCAAATTTACCATGGTTTGGCACATGTGACCTAATAAAATGAATGTAATGCCACCACTAACTTTGCCTGTTACAGACTCTATCTCATAACAATTTCTCCCTTCCTCCTCTGGAAAAATATTAAAGAGGGAAATTTACCAAATTGCCCATTCTACAGCCAGACTTATCTGAACTGTCCTTACCCTACCAAACCCAAACGTATTTGACAATATAAAGTCCAGCCAACCTGCCCATATGTTACAGTGTGTGCGTTAGGTTTCATTTGCAGAATAGGTCAGTTCCTACATTAATCTTAGTCCTCGGTCTAGGTTTTCAAACCATTCTCCGATAGTTGGTGTGGAGACGGATCTCCATAGCCTTGGTATAATATAGTCAAATTCCCAACTGAACACAACTCCACCACAGTTCCCGTTCATTTGTCTGATTGCAGAATGTGCTCCAATGTACTGAGATCTCAGGATGAAGAATGGCCACACACCGATTATGTCTCCGCCAATGCCATCCAGTCCTGCCTCCAATTCGCCAAACCACCAGGTGTGAGCTATTGTTCCCACAAAATCACTTCCTCTCCAACACTTATTAGAAATATTGGGGAATGTTATACCGCCGTGATCATAGTTCAGTCAGCTTCTTCTATTTTACAATCAATGGATGAGGGGTGTTATAAGAGTAAAAATGGTAATCACTGATTGGATAAGGGTAGTTGGAAATGCCATTCCGGTTTCTCTGTAGATGGTGGATATGTGAAAGAGTCAGGGTTAAGTAGGAGTTTTTATAGTT